ACTCAGGTAACTGACAATATTATCAAAGAGATCGGTAACTTCTCACAATATTTTTGTGATCGGTTGTTTCAGAATCTCAGCAAAAGGGTACCTATAGGTCAATACATCAGTTATAGATCACAAATAAACGACTTGGTGGACCAAAGAAAGGCATCTGGATCGACGGTGGTATCCACGCCAGAGAATGGGTTTCCCCAGCCACCGTCCTCTACTTTATCAATATGGTAAGGATTTTTCAAGAATTTAAGAGGTCTTTTCTATAGGCTTTGCAACTGCTTCCTATTCCATGAATTTGAGAAGAGTTTTCAGCACTTACAAAAGTCTCAACGTTATAAGACTGTAAAGTAATAGTTTGAAAAGACTGAAATTACTATGTATGGCAACAATATCAGAACTTTATCACGCTCAAGCTTTCATTCGATTCCATCCCAATTTCAGTCTATTTGTACCCTACAATTATTGATCACTCGTACGATTTTCAGCGAAAACTGAGTTCATGGCTTACCCTTCCATGATAAGTTTGAAAAGACTGAAATTACTATGTATGGCAACAATATCAGAACTTTATCACGCTCAAGCTTTCATTCGATTCCATCCCAATTTCAGTCTATTTGTACCCTACAATTATTGATCACTCGTACGATTTTCAGCGAAAACTGAGTTCATGGCTTACCCTTCCATGATAAACTCGTACCTGAATGCCACCGTTTTCAGCTAGTCACGCAATACGACAAAGATCCACAGGTCCGGCAATTTGTTGACCAGATTGAATGGTACATAGTACCGTTATTGAATCCTGATGGATATGAGTACTCGAGAAGCAGTAACGATCCTGAAATCCGTCTATGGAGAAAGAACCGTAGTCCAGCTAGATGTATTCAACAGAGTACAGGTGAGGCAGAATGTCCTTCTCATTCTATCCCACCCCACTTTTGAATTTTTATTGTTGACAATTTTCATCAAATTTTTTAATATACGGATTTATATGAAGTAGAAGCTCATAAAAATTTACTAGTTAATAAATTATTCAGGTTTGTTCAGCGCTCCGCAAACCACCTGCTGTCAAGGTGTCGATTTGAATCGAAATTTCGATTGGTTCTTTGGTCAAGTCGGATCGTCAACAGATCCATGCTCGGAGATTTATCAGGTCAGCAAGTGAACTTGATGCTTTCACACACAGAAATTTTTTCATTCATTTCGCTTTCCATATGTCATGAACCTTGGTTCATGATATCACACCCAAAAGTTAAGGGGTCGAAACTGCACAATTTGGTGGACAGCTGGCTTGAGCTTAGCTCGTCAGCTTGTGAACTCTCGGCAGCACGGTGAACTCGGGGCCGATTTCCTTTTCAAAGACAACTTAACATCTCAAATGAACAGTGGCCGTTTAATCATCACGAGGAGCCGGCAGTATTGAATAGTTTTTCGTTTAAAAATGTGGTGTGTCTTCATAAAAATTTTCCCACCTCGTTTCACAATGACAATGTCCAGAATCAGACCTAATGACAAAGGTTTCTCTAGTCCAGGGTGATATACATTCTCCGGACACAGTGATATTCTACCTCATACACTGGAAATTTTTCCCTTGGAGGAATACAGACTTAATTTCACAAATGCGAACTTTTCATTGAAAATGTGTCCTTGATAGTCAATCAAATCTAATTGCACAGTTTTGTTGATTACAGGGCGCATACGCATTTTCTGAGCCGGAAACAGCGGCCGTGCGAGATTTTCTTCAACGTCATAAAGTGCATACATTCCTGACTTTTCATTCTTATTCACAAATTCTGATGTATCCATTTGGCCATCAAGTCAGAACCTACTCGAACGATTTAAATGATTTGGTAAGTTCAGCTCTCTGTGTGTTATTCTACTATAGGCTAAAATGTAAGAATAACAGATAAAATAAAGATAAAAAGATAAAATTATCCAGTTAGCGTGCTCAATTCCTGAAAAAATTACTTTGGAAGATCCCAGTTCTGCTGGAGTTTGGAACCTGCGATTGCACTGGGTGCAGGCAGACTGTTCCGGGGTATGGGCAGGGACGACCTCTTTGATGCTCAACAGCCCAGAATCCGTCCAATCTTCCCTCTCCAAGTTGACAGTCCCATCAAAATCTGCCCTGCCCTTAGATTTGGATTGTTCGCTGGACAGTTTCACAAATGTCGATTTCGTCCTGACCCATAAAAGGAATTCAAATAAGGATGATTGCGAGAAATGAGTAATGAGCGATTTTTTCGAAAAGGTTTGGACAATCTTTGGGTGCCATTCAGAGATTGTTTAATGTACCATCTATTCTCCACTCCTATCAATATGAATATGAAGACCAAAGTGTTGTAATGACCACGGGTACACCAATAGACAGGGCTTTATTGATAGCTAGAACCCCTATTGCAGTAGAGATCTTTATCAGAAAGATATCAATAAGAGGGCAAAGTCTTCCTTCCTGCTCGTGTTTTTTTTTTGAATTTTTCAGTGAGTGAATCCATTGAACGGACTCACTCCTGGAGTAAATTAATCATCAAGTAGAAGTGTTAACGGGAATATTGTGATTCACAGTATTGCGGTTCCAGAGATCGACGGCTCTCAGCGCATCGTCTCAGTTACATCGAATGTTTGGCACTAACTATAAGGTTGGCACAGGAGCAGATACCTTGTGTAAGTTCCTTTTTCTTAGTGCCATCACCCTCTAACTCCTCACGCACCCATTTTTTTGCATTTTTCCCCTCTTTTTGTTTCCTATCCGCTGCACGGCACTGCACCTCACAAATTCACTACAGAGCGCAGCGCTCTAGCTCCAGTCCCATCAAGACGCTCATCCTTTCTGAACTTCAGCTGAAGAATTGTGCCCACAAATGGGATGAGAGCCCTCAGGAAGTTCTCCCTGGGAATACACGTCTTCCATGCTTAATCAGCGTAGTCTCTCCTTGTCAGTAACGAATTTTTTGTTGGCACTGCAACGATGCTCATGCTAACAATTCCTATTGCGATTAAAATATTGCTACCCAATTGATAGGTGGGGAGGGGCAGCACAAGTCTCCTTCTGTCCCTCTAACCCACGATTATAGACATGGAATGAACATGCAGTGCATCACGACTCCATCGTAATCGCTTCATGTTCTTTAGCTATTTGTGGCCATGAACATTACTTTCTTACAATATTACGCATCACGTTTTAGGCTGAGCCCATAATTACCTTTGCAGATCCCGCTTCGGGTGGCTCAGAAGATTGGGCCAAAGGCAAAGCCCACGTAAAGTATTCGTACCTGTTCGAACTTCGACCGGAAGAGCAAGTTTGGGATGGATTTTTGCTTTCCGAAAATCAAGTAATAATAAAAATAATTGCCTTCACGTCGCCCACAATGTATGAGCTATACTGATTAGATCATGCCTACGGCTAGAGAAACTTGGGAAGCAGTGAAGGTGATCGCCTCACAGACTCTGAACATACCAAGTGTCGCCCGAGCTCCTCAACGCCAAACTCAGGTAAGCTAGTCTGTTATTCGGTCAAGACTAATTATTAGTTGAGTAGAGGTCTACCGTAATCTGAAGATCCGACTCAAGAATTTGTTTGCTCTGAATGTATGACCACTACGAATCCTCCCTTTCTCGTCAGGATTAGAGAGAAAAGTCAGCACGTCAAGGGCAAGGGAAAAGGTAATAAGGTAGACAATACCATCTAGTGATTCTTTCCCACAAGAGAAAAAATGAATCTGTGTTTCACCTCCTCTATTTCCGCTACGCCCTCATTCATATCACAGCTTGCATGTCATGATGGATGCTTCAGCGGGAAATTGTGATGCACCGCACAAAAGGCACCGCTGTTTATTCTGCCACTCACATTAATGTAGGATTATTGATATCGCCAACTTGCTCTATAGCGCTGTAGAAGGTGAGTAGGGTGGAGGGGAATGTATGTCACGGCGATGTGCAGGCGCGTAGTCGATAAATAATCGTCGCGAACCACAACAAATTCAAAAGGTTGACTACAACTCCTCAATGTTTTCCGAACTAATGCCCTGCTCCTAACGAGATTTATTTCAGGCGCGATCATGTACGGATCGGGATACGTTGTGTGGCAGTTGGGCGCAGGGTGGCGCCTGCACCACTTGGCCAGAGATGCGACAACGTTGTCCGCGATCGTGCGGCTTCTGTGCAAAGTAGTCTCATATTCGAATATTCCTGCATTTCTGCACAAATACACTGCACCCAAGCCGGGGCTGGCTGCCGTAGCCGTCTGCACCTTCATAGTGTTTTATGTAGTCGCTTCGAGCTCGTCTTATGTGAGGCTTTTATACTATGATTTGTTGTTGTTATTATTATTGTTATGGTTGTTGTCCTTTGGGATTCACTAATAACTAAACAACATAGTAGCCAAGTCGGTTTGTAGGGGCTTTAAACTAATTGCCTGGGGTTTTGGATTGCCGTCAGTTATTTACTACGGTAAGTGCTACCATGCCGAGTTTGTTTCGATTTCCGATTTTTGGTTTCCGATAAGCTCGAGACGTTTTTTGTTGCCAAGCCGCTGCTTGTTAGAAATCATTCGCAGGCAGATTTTTGGGTTGCAACAGCACAGATTTTGTTTGGCTTAAAGAACACCAGATTCCGATGATCGATTTTCGTTTTCCGTCCCTAATTTGGGTCCTCGATTTCCGTAAAATAGACCGTTTTGGATACTCTTCCTAAATCTAGTAGTTGTTATGATTAACATCGTAAATTATTTAAGATAGTCTATGGTTCGATATCCGTAACACTTTTTTCTTAGGTGATAGTGACAGCACACAATGGATGCGCTTCGAGAATACTTCTCCCCCATCCCTAGAAGGTTCAGGA